AAGTATGTGGGGGAGCAGGCGAGTGCGCGGACGGGCCCGAACCGAAGCCGGTTGGGGGAAGCGGATGGTAGTTGTTACTGTACGTAGTGCAGCAGGGTAATGCTGCTTTCCACGGTGACAGCACGAGCCACATGGGGGCCAGTGTTAGGAAAGGAGCCCTCGAGTCCCAGGGGGGAGTCCTGACGAACCGACGGGCGTTACTCCAGCAGAATTAGGACACTAGAACTGGAAGGAAGCTCGAGAGGTCATCAGGTGCAGGCCCCGGCCCTCCCGGGGCAGGGCGGGGGGCTGAGCAGCTGCTAGGCCTTGCTGGTTCTCAGTAGGGATGGAAAAGGTTGGTTCGAAAGGTAAGTAACTGCTGAAAACGTAGCGGCTCCACGCGCTGCGGGCTCTGCAGTACGTTCAAATCGGCTTTGTACTGCAGAGCCTGCAGCGAAGCTGCCCCAGGAGCCAGCCCGGCACCCGCGGAGGCGACTTCCCTGCCCCAGCGAAGCCACCTCCCCAGGAACAGAGCTAGGAGGGGCTGTCGGCCCCGCTCCCGGAGGCCTTCGCTGTGGGCTCTGTAGCCGGCTCACCAGCAAGCCCCTGCCAGTATGTAACCAGCGGTGGGGGAGCTGGACCTGGGCTGCCATGGACAGGGATTGCTCCAGCCAGAGCAGCTCCTGCCTGCGATGGGCCCTGTGGGCTGGAGCAGCCCCTACAATTAACCACAACGGCCAAGCATTGCTCATTTGGGGTCAGCCAATTAACCTCTCCCATCCCTAGTTCAGAGGAGCTGTCACTCCCCGCCCCCGGAAGTTCTAGGCTGTTCAACAAGTGGAATTTCTGGTCACCAGTAGCCTGAGCCCAGAGCTGGGGCTCCGTGGTGCACCTGGGAGCGGAGAGCTTGTTCCATCCTGCAGTAGGCCTGCAATTCATCAGAGCCTGAAACCGACCCAGGGCTTTGAAAGGGCAGAGACAGCAAAACGCCTCCCCCTTCTAAGAAGCACTTGGCCCGCTCAGCTCTTTTCCCTGGGGTCCTTCTGGAAGGGCCAGCACAGTGCTCTTCCTGCAGGGCTTGGCGGGGAGGGAGCCACGCCAGCTGGAAGCATGGGCACAAAGGAGAAATAATAATTAAAAAAAAAAAAAAAAAAAAAAAAAGAGAGAGGAGGGATTTATCTGGGTGGCCAGGGCTGCAGAAGGTTTTGTTCACACACACATCCCATCCCCCCCCCCGAGGAAAAACAAGCGTCTCATGAAGCAGTTTAAGAACAGAGTGCTGGCAAGGAATTTTTCAGCCTTGGGCTGGGGATCAATTTCATTTAAAGCTCTTCTAGCTACCCGAGTACTGCCAGCGGTTAATTAAACTCCTGCCTAGCCCTGCAGTCCTACTCCCTGTGCTGCTGTGTTGCAGGGGAAGCAGACGCCCAGAACGGTGTTGTTCTGACAAGCATCACTAGGAACCAGGGCCAGCCGTACCAGCAAACGTTCCAGGAAGCCATGCCTGCCCTGACCCCGGTGGGCAAAATGCTGTCTGTGAAGCAGCTGATCATTTGGCGTGGGCTGGCTGTCACCGCGGCTGTTGTCGTCCTTGCAGCAGGCATTCTCGTAAGGGTCATGACTCTCCACCGCTGACATCCAGCCAATGACCCCAGGGTAAAGGGTAGGAGACCTCGGCTGGGTCTGCGGTCACAGCAAGAGAGAAGAGCCTGTGTTAGCCAAAGACGAACTGCCCCGCGCTGAGAGTTGCTCTACATGGTGCCTTTGGGAATGGTCACAGGCTGCTATGGGACTCTCACCCTCCAGCTGGCTGAACAGGCTGGAAAGACTTTGGTCGACTCTCCTCACTCTACCCGCAGCAGCGATTAAGAAATTCAGCTGCAAGCAGCGGTGGTAATCACCACATTGAACTTTCATTGCCTGTGATAAGATAGCAGCAGCAGTTGCTTTTCTGTGTACAGCACTGCGGGCCTGGTGATTAAATGGCCTTATTTTTAACGGTGAATAAACTCCTAAAGCTGCCAGTTCGGGTAGGAGGGATTGCAGTAGCTCCTCTGGTTTGATTCGCGGCTGTGGCAGAGAGAACCCCAGAGCCCTAGAAGCTGCGACAGCGGCATAGCTGCCGTAGAACTCCGGGCCTTGGGGAGGGGGAGAACGCTGACTGCAGAACAGCTTTCCAAAGCAGTTTGTATTAGCATCAAATCCGTTAGAAGGTATCCTGCCGCCCACTGGAGTTCCATGTCCAGCTCATGCACCTTGTCTGACCCTTCCCCCTTCCCCCATGTGCCTCTTGTGCATCAAAGCCCCACACTTCCTAACATTCCCCCCCCCCCAGCCCTTTTGGAGCACCACACATCTGCTGATTTCTCCCTCCCTGAGTTTGAATGCCGCCAATCAGCTGTTCATGCAGTCCAAGGAGAAGGAGAGCCACTCATGTGCCACACTCGCTCGTCTTAGTTGCCCTTTGCTGATCAAATCCATTCAAACCAGGAGCTCTCATTCTTCCTTAGCTCACCGCCGATTCTCTGGGCAGAGAGGTTTCAATAATACTTGTACACCTAGCATGAAACTTCCCTCCCTAACCCATAGGCATGGACTCCACGGCACTGAATTACAGCACCAGGCTACATAAATAGACAGAAGCAGGAAAAGTTTACATGAGTCTAAAGGGCAAAGTGCTTTTCTTCCCCCCTAGTGGGTAAAATATTTGCAGTTTACAGAGAAAAGTCAGGTGACATGACCTCCCTGTGATCACACAGTGAATCCATGGTAGTACCACAAAAATCCTGTTTCCCTTCAGGTGCTTCTCAATAGTGCCGCCTCTGTTGTGACAAGAAGTTCAAACATTCTTGTCTGTCAGACAGTGTTTATTTAGTACTTTCAAAATATATTCAACATTAATACATTTGGAACAGAAGGCAAATAATTTCAATATACATTATTTAGGGCTTAGCAGTGTATCAAGTTGTTTTCCTTACCATCAAAAATATTTTAAAAGTTAGAACCTCTTCTAATAGTTTCAGTTTATCAGGTTTCTTTCCCTTCAGCAGAAACGGGTCCCGTTAATCAATTGATGTCTTTCTAAGCATGGGTAAATTTCACTTGAAAAAATGTGCTGCTTCCCTCCAGCATTAAATGGGAATATGCCAATTCTTTTAATTCCTAATTCTTTAAAAGCCACCCCTGCATCTCAAAATGCAATCCTGGAAGACAAGAGTGCAGATGACTGCAGCATCACAAGAAACATACCTTGCAACCCTATAAGAGGTGCAGCAAGTCTTCCACTTAGGAAGCTGCAGCCAGTTGAATTTGCTGTCAGATTAAATCACAGGGCTAATGGGTAGACAATGCTTTTTCCGGGGGAATCTCAAGAAATGCATGTGCTGGGTTAGAGGGTGAGCAACAGCCTCAATGTGCAATTGATCTGGAGTATTAGTAAAATCTGTCTCCAGCCCACCAGAAAAGAAGGCATAGCAGAGTAACCGCAAGGTGTGCAAGACTGTTACAATAACATTAGGCAAGTCTTGGTCCCTTAAGAGGTAAAAGCTGCCTCAGTTTTACTTTTGGGCTTATTTTTTACATTAAGTGTATCAGGCCCCGATTTCCTTCTTTTTGGAGGACTCTGGAAAAATCACGGAGGAAATGAACTGCCATGGCTCTCAGGCAAATGGAAGCCCGAGTTCTAGTTCTCCAGCAAAGGCTGGGGGAGCTCACAAGGGGATATTCCCGGTAAGACATAAGCAGCTAGCCTTGGACGTGATGATTTACACCAGTGGAGGGAGTGGCTATGCCCGGTTTTGCTGTTCTCCAATTCACTGTGGCTGCAGGGTTAATACTTCATTCCCTGCCATGCACTAATCCCCTTTCTTGCAGCACAGCTTTTCAAAGCAGCAGGAAGAGCCAGCCCATGCCTGCTGTGACTAGCTGGTGCTTTCTTATTTTACTTTCAATTGTTCTGGGCCCTTCATGTTTCATAGGAAAAAAAAAAAAAGGCATAACTTGTTCCACTCTTAACAGGTCATTGCATGACGTGTGGCTCAGGGGACGAGTCCTGAGGGTTGGTTAGAACAGGTCACATCACTTCTTTTCAGGAATAGGCCACCTGTGAGGGCAAAGAAAGACCCTGTATAAGCTCAGCAAAGACACGGACCCCACTCCAACTCCGACATGCCGACAAAAGTGCATTACCCACTTGAATGCACCCTAGAGGAAGGCTGCCGTTTGCCCGCCCATCAGCTGCATCCAGCCCTCAGTGCTTTTCATCTGGCCCGAGGGATTACCAGTTGGGTGGCTCAACGGGACTAAGGCAGGATCCCTGCTGGTCATGGGCCTGTGCTGTCCTGGAAGCAGCTGGTGTGCCCCTCAGCCTCTGGGGGTGGGAGGGTCTTCACACACTGCCCCTGCCTGCAGGCAGCGCCCCTACTACTCCCATTGGCTGGGAACAGAGAACTGCAGCCAATGGGAGCTGCAGGGTGGTGCTTGTGAATGGCTGAGGCATGGAGAGCTACCTGATCCCTCACCCCCTGGTGCCACAGCCAGACATGCCAGCTGCTTCCAGGAGCCATGTGCAGGGAGGGCAGGCAGACAGCCTGCCTTAGCCCCACTCTGCCGTCACCCCAGAGCTGCGTGAGATACGCTGTGCCAGGCCGGAGCGACACCTAGGGTTGCCAGGTGTCTGGCTTTGAACTGGACAGTCTGGTATTTGAGAGTTCTGTCTGGGAAACAAATTGAGAAAATACCAGACAGATAAAATGTTGGGTATTTTCTAATTAGGTCAGTTTATTATTATTACGAGTATCAGTACGTAGTTGCGAGCTGCCTGGCTGGTAACTGTCTACCAGCCAGGGAATATGCAACCGCGCGGGGGGAAGGGGGTGGGAGGGAATCCCGGGGGCCGGACTCGCTCGTGCTTCGCTGGGACCATGCACGGGACAGGCAGTGCTCTGGGATCTGCATGTGCCCGGGTCAGTTTTGCTCCCTGCTGGCCAATTCCCTCCCCCCTGCACCCCTCCCACCCCTCCCAGCCCCACTGCCCCCGACCC